CGACAGGCGTTTTTCCCACGGATTTTTTTACGTAAGAATATCTGTTGGAATAGCTATCCCAACGAAAAAATTAATTAATTCCAACGGAAAATTTCCGTTGGAATTTAACAGTTCTTTTTGTAGTGAAACTCAAACGAACAGGTATTATTTTCCCTTTTATTTTTTTTTTCAAAAATCATAAATAAATAATTAATATAAGAGTTATAAACAAAATTAATACAATTCTAAAAATCAATGATTAAAGAATATGTATAAAGATTTTTTTTTTACTTTTATTTTTAACCTTTTTTATTTGTTTGGATAGGAACTGTTTGGACGGCGAGTGCTCATATCATAACAGCCGTAATTGGTTCTGGAGTTCTTTCGCTGGCTTGGGCCACGGCCCAGTTGGGTTGGGTCGCAGGCCCAATTATGCTTTTCCTTTTCTCGTTCGTGACGTACTACAATTCGGCCCTACTGGCGGCCTGTTACCGGTCCGGCGACCCGGTCAACGGCAAGCGAAATTACACTTACATGGATGCTGTTAGGGCCAACCTAGGTAAAGTTTGGTCTTATTATTATTATTATTATTATTATTATTATTATTATTATTATTATTATTATTATTATTATTATTATTATTATTATTATTATTATTATTATTATTATTATTATTATTTGTTGATAAAATTCCTATAAAATTATAGTTTTGTGATTTTTCTCTAAAATTTCAGGTGGGTTTCAAGTTAAGGTTTGTGGGGCAATTCAGTATCTGAATCTTTTTGGTGTTGCAATTGGGTACACAATTGCTTCATCTATAAGCATGATGTAAGTATATATTTCATGGATAATATTAGAGTCCCGTTACGGAATCATTCTGTCGGGATTTGTAACCGTTAGATTATTATATAACCGTCCTAAATAGTTGATCTAACGGTTACAAACTCCGACGGAATGATTCCGTAACCAGACTGTAGAATCTCCCTATATTTCATATTTAAGGCTTTTCTTTTTAGTTTTCCTTTTTCCCAATTTTCTTGGTGGGAGAGAGTAATTACTAATTACCAATTACTACTAAAGGAAATGATAAAAAGAATCATTAATGGTATTTATTAAAGCATATTAAAACATCTTGAATTACAAGAATACCTATGAGGTTTGCTAAATAGTACAATCTTGAATTACATATAAATTTCACATTTTTATGTTAATAAATTTCAAGAAAAATGTCAAATCTCATAGTAAACTGTAAAAGTATGCATTTTTGTTCGAATAATATGACTGTCGAGTCAAAATCGATCTTGATAGCCAATTTTCACGATGAAATTTTCACATTTGAATGTAATATTGGCAAATCAGGAACGTGTTTTTCAGTGGATATCGTTACATTGAAAGTGAAATGTCATACTTTAAAAAACAATGTCAAAAAAACGTACATCCCGTCGTATAAGTATGCATTTTTGTTAAGAAAAAGTATTACAGGTCGATCGTCTAATAGTTAGGTTGAATAAAAGGTGTATGTAGTGTTTTCCTTAACTTCAATTACTGTTATTATCTTAATTGTAGCTATTGTAAATAGTTGATACTATTATCATAACTGATTTTTTTTTTTTTTTTCCTAAAAATATTATGTATGTAACAGGGCAATTGAGAGGTCTAATTGTTTCCATTCAAAGGGAGACAATAGCCCATGCAGAGTTTCAAGCAATCCTTACATGATTGCATTTGGTGTTATTGAGATAATCTTCTCACAAATCCCAGATTTTGATCAGATTTGGTGGCTTTCAATTGTGGCTGCAATTATGTCTTTCACTTATTCAACCATTGGCTTAGGCCTTGGCATAGCAAAAGTTGCAGGTAAACTAAAAATAAAAAGGAACCCCCTTTCATTTTCCCTTACTAATTATTGTATTGTACCTTTACTGATTGTTTGGATTTTTTTGAACTATTATGAATGTTTTTTGCAGAAACCGGCGAATTCCGGGGAAGTCTCACCGGAATAAGCATCGGCACGGCCACCGCCTCGGGCTCGGTCACCGAGATGCAAAAGGTTTGGAGAAGCTTTCAAGCTCTTGGAGCCATAGCTTTTGCCTATTCTTACTCCCTAATCCTTATTGAAATTCAGGTACAAATCTAGTTCTTTTTTTTTCTCCTTCTCTTTACTTATATAGTGTTTTGAAAAACTTCAATTTTAAACCGAAGGCGATTCATTATTAGCGTAAACGATATATTATGGGAGCTTCAACAAAGAATGTTCGGTGACTAAGTCATAAACGTGTTTCGTTTGTCGAACCGAACCAGAAACTCGTTTTTATCCCTTTTCCTGCCAATATCCGATGTTCAATTTTTTTCAAAGTGTCCCGTGTTTTTGAATTCTCAATTTTTTTGCAAGAAATCAGCTTTCACTCGACATCTTTCATTTACATATTTAGCTTAAATTCGATAGGACACGATCAAATCCCCACCGGCCGAGCACAAGACGATGAAAAAGGCCACCTTCATAAGCGTGGCCGTCACTACAATCTTCTACATGCTTTGCGGTTGCTTTGGGTACGCGGCATTTGGGGACTTATCCCCCGGAAACCTCCTCACGGGCTTCGGTTTTTACAACCCTTATTGGCTTCTCGACATAGCCAACGCCGCAATTGTCATCCACCTCATTGGCGCGTACCAAGTCTTTTGTCAACCCCTTTTCGCCTTCGTCGAGAAAACCGCATCAAACTATTTTCCCGATAGTAAATTGATCACGAGAGAGATTTCGATCCCGATTCCCGGGTACAAATCCTACAAGCTTAGTCTGTTTAGGCTCGTCTGGAGGTCCATCTTCGTGGTGATCACGACCGTGATCTCGATGCTCATGCCGTTTTTCAACGACGTGGTGGGGATCTTGGGGGCGTTAGGGTTTTGGCCGTTGACCGTCTATTTCCCTATCGAGATGTACATCGTTCAAGCGAGGATTCCCAAGTGGAGTTCGAGATGGGTTTGTCTCGAGATTTTGAGTATGACTTGTTTGACTATATCGATCGCGGCTGGAGTCGGGTCGGTTGCCGGTGTTTTGGCGGATCTCAAGACCTACAAGCCTTTCAAGACTAGCTATTGATTATGATATGGTGATAAATTAATGATATGATGATAATTTGGTCTATGTTTTTCAAGAATTAAGGGATCTTTTTCTAGAATGAGAGGGAAAAGGGGGGAAAAAAAGAGGTGAAGAGGGTTTATTGTTAGTAGTTGATAACAAGCCTAAAAAGTGTCTTGGATTTCAAGTTAAAGTGATAAAAGGGGTGGGAAGTATATGTATTAGGTGGAATTCAAGAATGCCCCATATTTTTCCACAAATTGAAATAGTTCAAAACCCCATATATCCTTGTTATTTCTAGTGCCCTACACAATCAAATCAATAATTTATTGCTTAGATGAAGAAAACAAATTACAATAGTCATCCAATTACACTTTAACATGACCAAACATTCATGAAAGGCAAGTTGTGAAAAAAATACTAATATTAGTTTGATGGATGATGGATCCATCTTCTAAGATAAATGGATTTTCATTTGGATTGTGGGTATACTTTGGTAAACTGTAATGTGCAAATAGCATTCTTAAATAATGGTAGGATGTGACAGTAAATATGCAAGTGATGGGGGCCTACACTGCAAAAAAAAGTGCTCAAGGGAAAGAAAACCATCCCTTTTGAACCAAAAGACAAAAAGAGCCACCATCAAATTGCAAAGGGTGTGAATAGGATGCTCATGATCCCACCACAACTAAGTGATAACCTTATAACCATAGTTTTGAGAAAAAAATACCCCCAAAAAGAAAGATTGTGCTTTTTTGCACCATTCATGAATTCTGTTATTCTAGGCAAAGGAGAATATTTTAGGTTCAGAGGACCCTTTCTTGGTCCACTGCAGTACTCTGCAATACGTCGAATAATTTTTCCAACTTCTACGCATGGAAATGCAAATCGACTTTCAAATGATCTTTCACAATCGAGTCATTATTCAACAATACGCAGTTCCAAAACAGCGAAAAACGTATGATCCATGAAAAGTTACAGGAAAAAGGAAAAAAAAAATGGAAAAAGAGAACTCTTGGTAATAAACATATACTCACAGATTAGTGACATTCACATATACACAAAAACAAACATGAAAACTTCTCAAGTTCCAGATAAGATTAGCT